AAATAAGTCAAGCACAAAAAAAAAATACCTCTATTATGTGGGGAGTATAAAAGAGTTAATTTTATACAAGGTGAAAGTAGAATGGTGGTTTTCAGAGGCCAGGAGAAAAAAGGGGAACCAGGAATAGGGATAGATTGGTCAATGAGTACTAAGTTGTGTTGGTAAGAGAAAAAATTCAGTTGTGCTATTGTACAACAATGGGCTATATATTTCAAAAAAATTAGGAAATGGATTTTGAATGCATTCACCATAAATAATAATAACGTGTTTGAAGATGTAGATAGGTTTACCAGATGCAAGCATTACACAATGTGTGACAGTATGAAAACATTTAGTTACCCCAAATATAGGCGCATTTTAAAATGTTTTTATGTAGCAATTAAAAGTAAACTTTACTTAAATAAAAACTGAAGTATAAACTAAAGACTTGGGGGATTTGTTTCATCATAGGGATAAAGTTCACAATGTACTCCTTAAAGGAGATATTTACAGAAAAATGAGCAGCCAAACAAATCCAGAAAGAAATGGCAATACACTGAAATTTTGGAAAAACTTTATTATGTAATAGAAGATGCTCTCTGGTATAAGCAACATCCTTTACAAACTGTGGGTTCAGACACTACTATCTTCTTTTTTTTGCAATTCAGAGGATTCTTTTTTATTTTTTTTCCTTTTGAAGTTGTAAGTTTTATGACCCTCCTTTCCAGTTATCAATTTTCCCATAACTGTTTCCTTACCAAAATGAAAGATGATCTTGGCTTTCATGTATGCAAAAGGACAAAAGATAGCTTTAATGTTATAAGTACATTTAGTCCTTTTTGGCGGGGGGAGACGGACTAGGGTTTGAACCCAGGACTTTGTAGTTGGAAAGCAAACACTCTGCTGGAGCCATACTTCCAGTCGATTTTGGTCTGGTCATTTTGGAGAGAGGATCTTGTAAACTATTTGCTTGGGTTGGCTTTGAAATGCTATCCTCCTTATCTCTGCCTCCCAATTAGTTATGACAACAGGCATCAGCCATGGGCACCCTTCTTTAATAAGCATTTTTAGAATGCTGAATAAAGATTTTTCTTAACAAAGTTCAGCTTCACTTTGGAATAGCAATTTAATTATCCCAATGAGAATTTCCACATTCAGAGAGATACTACAAGTGCATTTCTGCAATTTCAATATCTCCCAAGAAAAGCTGTTTGGAAATCAAGTAAGAACCACTCATTGTTTTCATTTTCATTTTCCTCAGAGACTATGATAAATACACTATTTAAAAAGAGGCAAGAAAAATAGTTGCCAACATAAATGATGAAGATTCAAGGGTCTTCTGTTGAATATTAATATAAAATTGGGAAAAGAATCTTCATTTCTCTTTAGAAATAAGCTGACAAACTTTCCCTTAAAAACAGGTAATTGCATACTCAGATTTGTTATTACATCTTTAGTGAATTTATCGAGTGTTTCTGAGTCTATGGTAGTCCTGTGATATGGGATCTTAGATTTAAATCAAGTACTCAGTGAACTGGACACAGATTAAGTTTTATTTATAAACCTCAAGTTAACCATTATCTGTGAGCCATGGAAGCAAAAGGAAATTCTGTTAGAAAAGATACTGTTACTGATCAATGAGATGTGAGAAATAAAGAAAAATTAAAATATTTGGTTGAGCAATATAAAATAATTAAATTTCTTAACATAGATTATTGTTTATGACTTTATTCATACTTTAATATTAACTAATTGGAAAACTTTAGGGACAATTTACATGCAATAAACTTTTGAATCTATTGTTCCAGGTACTTGGTAAAATAGAGAATTTTTAAACTGTTTCTATATAATCCAAGTACTATAATTTATGTTTGTAATTCAAAACGGAACAATGATCTGCTTTTTCATGGTTTCAGAAAGTCAAATGGACATAAACAAGACAAAATTTGTGAACCGTGTTTCAGGAAAGGATATAGAGAAAAAGCTGAAAAGGAAAACTCAGGAAAGTACAGAGTGTGACAATGGCTCTGTTCATACTTTTTCTTAATTGTTAGAATGTGTCATGCTTGTACTTTGCATGTCTCATTTTGGTATTTAAATACCACATTATCTATTGCAATTCAGCCTAACCTGGGCTTTTAAAATAAATTAGTGAAAGTGATCTGATTATTTCTCCAGGAGGGATCAAAGAGTGAAAAATAAGGCACAGCCAGGTTTAGGGACCACACAGAGATGGGAGCAATCTGAGTTACAATGTGAGATAACACCTCAGAGTATAGTCACCACACTAAGTCAAACAACTAAGAAATGGGGAGATGTTGGAGTGTTGGTTTTCTTAGTCACCCTCTTTTGCTAGCACACAGGACATGGGTAAAAATTACAGAAGTTAATTGACACCTCTATATCTCTTTATCTTTATCATTCTTAAGTAAATTTGATTACAAATATTCATAACTTGTTTATCCCTCCAATACATAATGAAATGAATAAAATGATAATGCTATACATTAAAGTAAACTTCATTTAATTTTTCTGAATCATTGAAATTAAAGTACTTATTAATTTGGCAAATGCATACTGACTAGTTATAAGCTCGAAAGGAAGTATGGCGTTATAGAGAATGGAAGGAAATTAATATTTTAAAGAGATGATGCTGTCAGATGCTATTTCTTGATTAAATTTTAATGTTGTTTGCAATTTAGCAAATCCTTCACAATTTGACTATTTACTTACAATCTTAGTATGGAAGAGCCAGATTACTATCTTGCTAAATAGAAATTTCAACAAATCTTCAATGAATTGGGGTTTTTGCCCACCTAACACAATACTTACTAAATATGAATGATTAATTAATTACATGTTATGCAAATCAATAGATAAGTTTTATTTTCCTGATCTGATATATAAAAGAATATCAGATTAGGAGAGTGTTAGTGCCTCACTTTTTTCCTGAGATAGAGTCTCACTAACTTTCACCAGGGTTGAACTGCAGTCTTCCTAAGTCCACTTCTGAAGTAAATGGAATTATAGGTACACACCACCACATTCAACTTACATACCTTTTTATATAAACTGAATTGAGTTTATTTAAGAGCTTATTATTTGAAAATAATTTTGGTTTTTCTGAAATACCAAAAAATGATCTGCATTTTAAAAATCCCTCATTTATTTTTCTCATAATTCTTTACTTTTCTGCTTATCTTCTACTTTTGGTCTTAGAAGACATTCTTACCATGACACTTGCATTGTGTTTTTAAACACGTTAAACAATATGTTGCTTAAGGAACCTCAGAGTAAAGCAGTGGGTTAGAAGAGACAGAATATTAGGCTACAGGAGAGGGGGGAAGGCTGGAGAAAAGTGAACTGATCAAACTAATGCAGTAAATGCTGCATGAAAAGAAGTTACACAGGAATGAAAAATTTAAAGTATCACAAAATCAGAAGAATGTTACTTCTGGAGGAAGTTAAAGTGGAGCTCTAAATTATTCTAAAGTACTGGTAATCACTTTAACAGCCTAAGATACTATTGTTAATTGACTTGAACAGCTTATCTGAGCCCCATGAAGATTTCCACTTGACTATTCAGGGTAATAAATGCCAAAAGGTACCTTCTAACATTGAGATTTATTTTTTGTACAAATTTAAATGGTAACTTTCATGAAGGAAAGGAAAAAAGGTTACAGTATTGAAATAAATTTTAAATATATTGATGTTGATATTATAAGTAATTGACATAAAATAATTTGATGCAAGTGTTCAGTATTTTACACAATGACATAGAGAATTTCTGGTGTGATTTAGTGCCATGGCCATTGGTTTTTCACTTGTTTTTCCTTAGAACAATCACACTTGAAATTCTACCAATAGAAAAGTATTTATTTGTCCTGAAGTTTAATATTTATTATTACAGATGAGGGCTGAGAATGTTGCTCAGTCGTGAAGCACTTGCCTAGCATGCATGAGGTTCTGGGTTCCATTTCTGATATCATCAAAAATGCTGTTACTACCGAGATAGCAAAGCAGTTGGCATTACATTACTTTTTAACAATGACAAGTAAGTAGTAGGAGGAGGTAAAAATAATGAGAACGAATGAGAGAAAATCAAGTCTGAGATACTAAGACTAGCAAGTCTGGGAACTGAAAGAACCACACATTTTCAAGATGGCCAATTAGAAAAATTTGAACAATATGTCTACATCAACTAAAAAGAAGTTAATTTATACAGACGGGTAAGACATTGGGTGATACTCTAAATTTGAAACTAAATTTAAATTTGAAACTAAATCTGCTATGTTTATCCTTAAATCCCTTACCTACTGTGAAATGCATAATTTCTTTTTTCCAAATCTGGTATGACAATGCTTTGAAAAATGGACATAACGTTCTTCCCCATTATCCTTTTGGTTTTCTGCGAAGCGATATTCTTTATTTAAAAATTATAAATATTTGTAAATTAAGCATAAGAGATGTTACTTACAAATGCCTTGTGATTCCAAATGCATATATTGATTTTTCTGTGTATAATCTTATACTGAGGATACATGGCAGGAAGATTCTCACATATGATATTACTCTATTGTTATACTTCATATATTTGCATTTTAAATATTTTCACTCATATTTCATTCTATTTATACTTTCTCAATAATAAAGACTAACACAAAGAGAGATCTGATTTTTTATTCCTTTACAATTGGATATTCTACAGTTCTATTGGGGCCTAATACCCACTTATGTTTGATAATGCTTGCTGATAGATTGGTTACACAATATTATATAATGCTAGTATTAATTTCAGGGACGTAATATTTTTGCCAGTAATGAATGTTTTCAAGAAAGTGACAAGAAACCCTACAGAAAAGTCCTCAAAATAAAAACCAAATTTCTACTTTCTTCAAGCTTTGAACCATTTCTAGTATAATTGGCCACATGCCATGGGGTGATAAAAACCACCAAATTTAAATATATTTCAAATTGACTCATAATTTATCTAATTTCAGGTGGCTACAAACTTTTGGATCATGGAATATAGGAATAATATCACAGAATTTATTCTTCTAGGACTTTCTCAATCCAAGGATATAGAGACTGTCTGCTTTTTATTATTTTTACTTTGTTATCTTGCAATTTTGATTGGAAACCTGCTTGTCATGATTTCTATTACCAGTAGTCAACTTATTGACCAGCCCATGTATTTCTTTCTGTGTTACCTCTCACTCTCAGACCTTTGTTATACCTCCACTGTGACCCCCAAGCTAATCATTGACCTACTGGCAACAAAGAAGTCCATTTCCTACAATGGTTGCATGACACAACTCTTTACCATGCACTTCTTTGGGGGCATGGAGGTCTTCATCCTCACAGGAATGGCCTATGACCGCTATGTGGCTATCTGCAAGCCCCTGCACTATACTGTCATCATGAACAGGCAGAGGTGTGATGCCATGATAGCTGCCTCCTGTGCAGGGGGATTCTTACATTCCTTTGGTCAGTTTCTTCTGGCTATTTTCTTACCCTACTGTGGCCCCAATGAAATAGATCACTACTTTTGTGATGTTTATCCTTTACTAAAACTGGCTTGCACTGACACAAGGAAAATTGGCTTCTTGGTCATTGCTAATTCTGGCCTGATGGGCCTGGTGACATTTGTGGTCTTGTTAATATCCTATGGTGTGATCATATATACAGTCAGGTCTTATTCTGTAGAGAATCGCCAGAAAGCTTTTTCCACATGTAGCTCACATATCACAGTGGTTGTCCTTTTTTTTGCTCCTTTACTGTTTATTTACATTCGACCAGCAATGACTTTACCCGAAGACAAAGTATTTGCTCTCTTTTATACTATCATTGCACCCATGCTCAACCCTCTGATTTATACTCTGAGAAACATGGAGATGAAGAATGCCATACAGAGATTTTGGTCCCATATCCTAGGAAGTGAAGGAAATAGAGCGAAAGACATCACTGCATTTCACCATGCACCTTCTTAAAGATGACATTTCAAACCTGAGAATGTAAAATGCACACATTTGCTTATGTGTTTTGTATTTATGGGTGTGATTAGTATCCCGTATGCTCTAAGACTTACTCTTCCCTAGATTTAATTAGGCCTCTTCTCTGTTTCCCTTTGTTTTGTTTTATATTTGTTGTTGTTCATGTCTTCTTGACAACATTGATCCTTTTGTTCTGCAGCTAAATTTAATATTTATCAACAGGGTATATAAGGCTGTGTGCAACCCAAGAAGTCACTGAGGATCCATAAAGCCCATTATTTTTATTTCTTATGATTGTCCTCAGTGAAGCCAGTTACAGACTCCAAAAAATGGTTAAAAAGCATATCTAATTTGTACTGACATCAGAAATTATTATAAAAGATCTACTTTATGGGCAACACCACTATTTTCTCAAAATTTTCACCTTCAGTCCTAAAAATAGCCAAAGCATTTTGAACTTTTTGCATTCCCAACACCAGTGCTTTTTCCCCAAGCCTCATACAATGTCTCCTCTTTTGTTATAAGACTCTTCCCACTTTGGATGCAGACTTGCTTACTAACTTGCAGACATGCTCCAAATACATGTAAATTTGGCAGTACCATAGTGCGAACCCAGGGCTTGCATTTGCTGATCTTTAACACTTGAGTCATGGTGCCATGGCCCCCAGCCCTTCAAATGTCTGCTATGTCATTGATAGCACACCTCTTACTATCTTGTTGAGGTCACATGTGAAAGACTAACACAAGAAGTCTTCTAAACCCACATCTGTTTTATCTCCTCATGTTCTGTTATTTCTTTTCATTTGTTTACTTATCTTTGGCACTATTGGGGGTTTGAACTCAGGGCCTCATGCTTGCTAGGCAGGCACTCTACCACTTGAGCCATTCCTCAAGAAAAGCACCCTTATAGATAGTGACTTTTTTAGGCAGAAAGAGAAGTATAAGGGTAAAATAAAAGAAAAAGAGAAATTTCCAGGCATTGGATAAAAATTCTGATACTCTGAAAAACTTATTTCTTCCTGGTATAATTAGATTTAAGATCTTTGGTGTTCAATCTGTACTTTGAATAATGGCCATAGGATTTTCTCCTATTTCCTAATTCAGCTCACTCAGCTACTCTTCAGTCCTCTGGCCTGACCTGATGGCACTAAGCTATACTTGTCCTTAAAGTCACCATCTCTAATTTCCAGACACAGTGCTTTGGATTCTAATATAATAGAGAAAATAATTATTAACTTGGTCTAACAATTTCTTAGGGAGAAATTTATACTATCATATATAATCTTTGACAGATTTTTACTGATGGGATTACTTTTTTTTAAATAAGATTGTTCAGAGTTCTTTATCAAACAGACATGTGTTTATTTTTCCATGAATAGTTAACAATCAGCTTATGTAACAAAACAGATCACTTGAAAACATGACTAAAGAAAACACAAGGATGAACTCGGAATTTTTTAATTCATTTATTCATATGTACATACATTGTTTGGGCCATTCTCCTCTGTTCCATGCCCCCTCCCTCTCCCTCTCACCCCTCTGCTTCCAGGAAGAACCTGTTCTGTCCTTATCTCTAATTTTGTTGAAGAGAAGAAATAAGCAAAAATAAGAAAGACAAAGCATTTTTGCTAGTTGAGATAAAGATAGGTATAGAGAGAGATTCCTAGCATTGACTAAAGAAAACACAAGGATGAACAAAGAACTTTTTTTTGACGTTTTTCTTTCTTCACAGACATGGCTTTTAGACTATAATCTGAATTAGAAAAAAAATCATTTTCATGTAGAGAGCTAGCCACCTTTCCTTACAAGTAAATTTTGCAAAAACATTAATCAATATTCTACAGTGTGGCTGAAATTATAGTTTAAATACTTCAACTCATGATATATACACTATCCAATCAACTTTCTAGGTATATTTTCATGTGCAAGTTGGAGCATAAAACCTTAAAGATACTAAGAGCTATTCTATATACCATTTTCTCAGAATTCAGATTTTAAGCAGTTTATGTGATGAGTTAAGCCAATAAATGTACTAGTTATTTTATTTAAAAAGAATATTTGAGTCATACTGATTTCATTTCTGGGATAATCCCTTTAATTATTCTTTGGATTATAAAAATCCAAAATCACTTAAAATGTTGTTTATACACTATTTTAAGAATGTTCCTTCTTGAATGCCATTTTGCCTTCTAGCCATAGTAAAACACAAGGTATGGTAAACTCTGTGTGTGTGTGTGGTGTGTGTGTGTGTGTGTGTGTGTATACTACTTGAATATCATAGGATATAAAGTACCCACACAATTTCAGAAAAAAAAATTCAAAAACATACTTCTAGGTTTAAAAGTATATTATACTCTGCACATTGTAAATCCATAGGAATCAAATAAGCGTGGACTTTTGATAATGTTAAGTAGATCAATGGAATAAGTTACAGTATTCAGAAGTAGACTTGAATGATTATAATAAGAAGGCATTTTCCTTAAAATCCATAGGAATCAAATAAGCGTGGACTTTTGATAATGTTAAGTAGATCAATGGAATAAGTTACAGTATTCAGAAGTAGACTTGAATGATTATAATAAGAAGGCATTTTCCTTAAATAGTGATCCATTTAACATTTACTCATTTTGGGCACTTGATCATATCTATCTTAGTGAGTTATTCTATATTTCCATCTACTTAAAATAGTTCTTTACCAATTATGTAATTTTAAAAGTTTCCTTCAGTTTGTAACTTCCTCTATTATCCTACCAACAATCTCATTCTCACAGAAAAAGAACTTCATCTTGATGAAGTCCACTGAAGGTATTTTCAACAAATAGTAATGCAATAGTGAGCTCCCATATTTGTAAAAATTCCTCTAGCTATGTATCACAACTTGTATAAAAAGTAATTCAAAGTATATTTACATATATATACATATACATGAAAAATATAAAAGCATAAAAACCATTACAATGTACATATTGATGACCTGAAAAGCTACAAAACATTACTAATAATTATTTAAGTGAAAATTTAAAGAATAACAATCATACCACATACTCAGTAAATGATTAGTAGTAAAGATATTGAGAGTTTGTAAGAATGTGAGAAAAACGCAATTGATATTCCCATTAATTGAGGATGTTAATTTTTTAGAACTCTTTTGGAAAACTTTATAAATTAATTAATACAGTTAAATATAAATATCTTATTTTACCCAATATTTTACTTCTTCAGATATATCCTAGATGTAAGGAAAGCTCATACCCAAAACTAGGTTTGAAGTGAAAGTCAAAATATGGACACCACCAAAATGTCTATTATTGGAGAATTGGTTAAAAACATTGTGGAACTTTTGTATAATAGGAAAATCTCAGAAGTAAGAAAAAAAGATACCTTTTGAAATAGAAATTAACATTAGATTATGAAAATTAAATGAAATGTAATCAATGTCCTGCCCAAATAATACAAAATTCTAGAAAATACAAATTGATCACCTATTCCATCTGTCCCCTCACTTTCCCTCCACGTAAGTATAGATGTTGATCTAACTTTGTGTATATCATTTTTGAACACATATTTGACAACTATTTCAATTATGCACATTGGCTGGAGAAGGTGCATATGTCTTCTCAGACACTGCACCTACATATTTCTGTCAACTCACTTGTTAGATACACTGAGATTAGAATAGATTTTCACATGCAGGTCGTACTTAGGACATGTGGTGGGCCAGGTGCATTATAACATCCAAGAATTTAAGATCTCAATTCAGAAAGACCTATTTATGACTGTCTAGCTGTAAGACATTGAACATAACCCATGTGGTGTTCCTAGATTAGTTCTTGGTATGTAATACGTATCCTACATATGATTGTAGTAGTTGGTCTTGCCATTAGGATTTCAGAAAATTTAAGTACTCAGTTCAGGGAAGTTAAGCAAGTTATACCCAGGGTCTCTGAATCTGATGTTCAATTTTCTTTAAAACATTTAAATACTACATTGGAAAATATAACATAAGCTAAAGCAATGGGAAGTAACAATAATTGATTAGCCAGAGCAAATTTTCTCTGCAATTGACAAAATGTTTTTCCCTGACAATCCAGAGGATTCCATGGATGCTGGGAGTAGGAATATGTGAATTACATGTGTGAAAAGCTCCAAGAAGGGAGACATCAGCAGAGCAGAGCAGTTTGTAACATTGGGACAAGCACATCTGTCCTTGTGCTTTCCTGCATCACTCCCTGGCTGTTGAGCAGGGAGAATTCAATTAGAGGTGCTTTGTGGAAGCTAGGAAAAGACAGGTGTTTGAGTAAGAAAAGAGGACTAGAAAGTGGGGACTGTGGCATAAGGCTCAGAGGAGTAGAGGATTTATAAGACATGGGAAAAAATGATACTTAGGATAATAATGACTCCTTAACATACACACACACACACTAAACCAGCCATTATAGAAAACAGGGTTGGTTGAATTTCATTCCCTCCCTGATAGGCATAAGGGGTCTGTGTTACATTTTTGACTTTTCAAACATTGCTAAGTTATTATTATTATTAATGTAGGTTTACAAATAATGTAAATACATGTTCCATATATGTGAGAATAATCAAATAAAAAGGGGCAATGATATGTTTCATTACTTCTTATAAACATTTCAATGTTGTTTTCACAAAAAGTACTTGTATTATTTCTGTGACAGGGATCAATTAAATAGGAAAGAATAATTTTGTCTTTCATTAAACAATATTTGCCATTTCCAGTCCATTCCTTTCCAACCTTTGGACTTAACAAATGTCTTGTCATAGATTCTGAGAAGAGAAAATTGCTTAATTGTTAAGTGTTGTGTGGGTAACTTTTAAAGCCTCTTTCTAAGACTATCACATAATTTCATCTGCTTTGGTTTTTTCTGCTTTTAGTTCTTACATTTTTCTGTTATGGGATGATTGTTACTGTATATTGCATTTTCATAATATTAAAACTTTTCAGTATTTTAATAATTCAGTCCCTTCATAAA